ATTCTGCAATATTTCTATAAGTTAACCATTTGATACGAGTTGGTTTGTTAAGAATTTGCCGCAAAGCTACACGAGGGCTATCTGCGTAAGCCGTTCCTAATTTAGCAGTGAAAGATTAGAGGGAAGGCAGCTAGTCATCACCACCCACCGCCAACTCTTGGGCTACTCTTTTACCAACGAATAGTAGGATTGCCCGTCACATTATAACGTCCCTACGGCTGAAAGGGCGAGCATGTTTGGTAGGACAGGGATTCGATCCCGCGACCCTGACATTGCGACTCGGGCGTCCTAACCACCTGGCCATGCCAGGCCTGATACGAGTTGCTTGTATGTTTCCGTGTTTTCAATGTAAGAATCGAACTGGCAGGTCTTTTGTAAGAAAAAGAACAAATACTCTGTGTATGTCTTGGAAAAGTATCTTAGGGGACAAAGGTCAGCAGCAAAAGCAACAAGAATGAAATTGAGATAAAAATTTATTTAGCATCACAATAAAACATTATGCTACTTTTATGTGCCCCCCCCCCCCAGTGGCACAGCGGTATGTCTGCGAACTTACACGCTAGAAACCGGGTTTTAATACCCGTGGTGGGCAGAGCACAGATAGCCCATTGTGTAGCTTTGTGCTTAATTACAAACAAACAAACTTTTATGTTTTTTTTTTCTATATGTTCAACTATTGATTCAGGTAATAGTAAATCAATGGAAATAAAATTTTAAAGTATAACATGTATGGTACAAAAAGATCTTCCATACTGGACGAATCACGTGGTTAGTCAAGCGATTTTAAAACAATATATCAGAAAGAGTTTCAGACAAATACTGCAAACCGCTGAAGACAATATCCACAAATACGTTTATGAAACATCAAGAAAACATAAGCCCTATAATACAATTTCAAATTAATATCTTATTAAAACTTTGAAAAACAGATGCCTTAAGTACTAAAACATCAAATACATAAACTTCCAAATCTATGAAATTCAAATATAATCATGGATATAGTTTTTGAGGCGGAATTATAGGTTTGTAATAAGACTATACAAATCACATTCTTCAGAAATGTATTGGAAGAAGATTTAAATGTGCCTAGATTAGTACATAAGCGTGGGAGTTCAAATATAAGTTTGGAAGCTTACGCTTATACTGGGTTATCTGTACTTGTAGTTCTGTAGCTCTAGGATTTTTTAAGAAGTTCAGAATTTCCTCCTGCAATTGTTATATTAAGAATTTTGAATCTTACTTCTACCAGTCCAAACTGTTTCCTCATTGGTCTCTCGGGCCTTAGAGACTATCAGGTTGACCTTGCTTGGTTGCTGATCTGTGTGCACGTGAAGGAGATATAGTAATCACTGGCCAATTGATTTTCTTTGATATGCGCTATTAGGGAGTCAGAAGGGTCTGTATAGATCATTGTAGATTTCGAATCAAGACCTGATTTTAGATCTCAGTGTGTCCACAACATTATCTTATATATATATACATTCAAGTTTACTTACTTTCATTTTGTTGTGGTTAAAAAAATATTATTTTTTGCAATTCTTTGTTCGCTGTTTTTTTTGTTTTTTTCTTGCAGTATTCATCCACCTACCATATCTTTGAAATTGCGTTAATACGGAAGTTATTCTGTTCTGTATGACTTAAGGCTTAAGAGCATCGCAATATTAATTACTTGTGTTGAAGAACGGAGAGGCCTTTAAACCTTTTCTGAAGGAAGTCGTAATCGGAAAGATATATTATTTCGTAATGTTTCTTTCCTATTTATATATTTTTGTATTTTCTAAGAGATTATTCATAACTTCAAATTCATGCTGGTTAACAGTGTACGTATATAAAAAATAAAAGACACACAAACATAAAGAGAAACCTGTTTGAAAGAATGATTTAGTTAATCATATTTAGTGCACTGTCTACTAAAACAGTGGTTTTCAACTGACAGTACATGATAATATTCGAGGTGGTACATAGAACGTTTATATAGAACAGAGATGTCTTAGGTAATAATAAAAAATATATGGACTGTCTATTAGAACAGTGGCTTTCAATTAACTGTACATGAGAGTGTTCGAGGCGGTACATAAAACTATTATCAAGAAAAGATATGACTTTCCATATTTACTTTATGAAAACAATAATAATATTTACGAATATTTATTTATTTATTATTTCATAATTAATAGCAATACTCTAATCTGAATTCTGGATTTTAATTTCACCGTCACTATCTCAAGTAGAAGTAAAAAGTTTTGCTTTGGTCAAATAGTACACGAACTGGAAATGTTTGAAACCTCTGTCCAAGAAGAATTTCAAAGTATGCCTAAATGCAATAATATTAACTTGAACAAATCAGTAAACGTAATATATAGTATATTTCTATGGATTTCTCCTCTTTATAATATTTTTAGTTGACCTTGCAATAACGTTCTAGGCTCTATGCTTAGTCTTTCATGAACATCAAACTTGACGAACATAGCTGAGAGCCCGAAACATCATCTCAAGACCAAAACAGGATAGGAGAAAATCATAAAGCAAAGATCACATGTCAAATACACTGTCTAAACGAATCAGTCGAAAGTACTAAAAACAATGATCCTGTAGTCGATATTATTTCTAGTTTTATGTACAACATTTTAATGAAAGTCCAGTCCGGAGTAAACCTACCTACACTCACAAATTCCAGAAATAAAAATCAGGAAGAAGCTTGCGACCGTCTTCGATTACATACTATTTAGATTGACTTTCTTTTATGTCTAGTTGGTTGATTATTGTTAAGCGCGAAGCTAAACAATGGGCTATCTGTGATCTGCCCATCACAGATATAAAAATCAGGAAGAAGCTTGCGACCGTCTTCGATTACATACTATTTAGATTGACTTTCTTTTATGTCTAGTTGGTTGATTGTTATTAAGCGCGAAGCTAAACAATGGGCTATCTGTGATCTGCCCATCACAGATATAAAAATCCTATTATTAGCGTTGTAAGCCAGCGGAGTTACCGCTGACCCTTTAGGGGCTGTTATGTCTAATTTATAATATTTTTGTTTACATTCATACATATTTTTTTACTAAATTTGTAATTAATGTTTTCATTATTCAATTAAAGCTTTAACGCAAATATTATCAATTATAAATAATTAGTTACTAAAAATTCGATCGGTTAATTCCAACAAGGAATTTATTGTTAAACTACTGAGTTACATAATATAAAGCAGAATGAGAGTACGTCGGACATAAAATAAAAAAAACACTCTTTATTTTACATAAATTACTCAGGATAAGAACAATATTTTGCTGGAGTAAACTCCAGGTAAAAATATTTTAAAACTCGATTTATCTACTTACAAATCAGTACTTTTCCATAGTATACAGAGAGAATCTGTTTGTTTCTTAATTTTCACGCAAAACTACTCACAAAGATATTATTATATATATGGTTGGAACTTCTTCTTACATATAAGTATTCATGAACAACGACAGTTTTCTAGAAAATGATTATCAAGTGTGATATCTCAAGAATTAATATTCATAATTCAGGTCAAACATTTTTGGTGAAATAGATGATATTGAAAATGCAGAATTATTTTGATAGTAAGCAGCATTCTTTATTAAACCTTGTTACCGGGCTTGGCCAAGCAGTTAACGTGCCCGGATTGTGAATCTGAAAATTTTTTAATCACTTCTCGGTGCTGAAAAAAAAAATAAAACAACAAAAAAAAAACCTCACTCCTCAATTTGGAGCCGTGACGGTTAAATTTCACTTTGGTCAGACGAGAGAGAGAAGCTGACAGTGGATATGGTTGCCTGGCTGCCTTACCTCAAGTCTATGAAATCAAAGTTAAAGACGGTCATGCTCATATAGCCTTTTGTGAAACTTTCAACAAAACTTCTGAAACAATGAACAATTACAAAGTTCATGATACGATATCTTCTTCCATGTAAAACTGTGTATCCATTGTTATGTCCATTGTTGCACTTGCTTGATTTCAATCAATTTTTGGTCTAATTTAATAGAAGAAAATCTAACGTTTAGCCAAGAATAACCTTACGATAAATCACTCATCAAACTGTATCTACATTCGAACAAAAGGTCTAGCATCCTGAGCGCATGACTAGGGAGTTTCAACTTAGACAATTAACCCGATAACTTTTCTATAACAAAAGACATGCATTACTACAGTAGTATCAAACTACGGCGTGCTTTTCTTGGCGACTTTTATTACCTTCTGATCAATTCCTTAATTAATTCAGATTAGTTAACAGTTCTTCCTGCTATTGTACCTTTTTTCGTACTGTAGACTTCCCGTGGTTATGCGTAAGCTTGAGCTTACTGTTGGAGTTCCGAAATTTCTGTAAAAAAACTCGCGTAGTTGAAGAAGTTATAGTATATTTATGAAATTTACTTTGTCTTGTGGTATACTTATATATAAAAGTTATTATGCTTGTTTCGATATCGATTTGTCTAGCTGCATGTCTAATTTATTTTTTCCTTAAAACTTACCTTGTCTCTATATATATCTCTATCAGAAAAGCTTACGTTGCTTTTGCATTTTCAGTGTTATTATAGCTCTAATATTTCCTTTGTCTAATTTGATGTTGATTTCAAAACTGTAAAACTTGATGTGTTTTGCAGTGACGAGTTGATTTGTTTTACTGTAAAAATTACTTTTCTTATATTTAACATGGATTTCTGTGTGTTTCTCTGTACAACTTAGTTTGCCTATATCTGGTTATGTATATATCTAGTTGTAAACTTTACATTGTCTATACTACTTTCCATGTGTCTACTTTATTTGGCATGTCTCTTTTCTGAAGTTGTTTGTTGATTTTATGTAAAATTAGTTAGACTATAAATATTACATTATCATTGTTCGACTTTCTATTCGTATTTTCTTTCAACTATCTATTTAATAGACTGACACACGCGAAGATGATCCTGCAAAGTGAGGGTTAAAACACTCTATGGTATATAGTTGTACTTCCACTTCTAATAGTTATGTTACTTACCAGGTATGCGATGAGATAGGAATCTTGGATGTCTAGAAGCAAGAAACCATGGATATAATGGATACGGGTCTCGGTTCAGGAGAAAAGGAGATACGGCTTGCAATGAGGATGGGTTGGGCGAACACAGATACGGTGTCGAAGTTTCTTCAGGAGCAGTATACACGACCGGAGGTCTCAAGCCGCCGTAGCCGGGAAAGGATTCTAAACATGGAGGGGCAGCTCTAGCAATAGAACAAACGGGCCTAACAGGCAGAGTCCGACACGGCGAGTCGTGACTAACAGTGACGGGCATCATCCAGCCACTAGGGGAAGAAGAATCTTCACGTGTTGGAGTTGGTGATAAGTTCTCTACATCCATGCTTTCTTCAAGTTGAGCCGAATCTCTGTGACCATCTTTTCCAACCAAAGATTCAATGGAAAATCGGAGCTTCGGCTTAACAGGCAGTGGCACCACCGGCGCCATGGTTACCACAGCTGCACACATCCAACTGACACAACAATAAACTGAGAACTTAAACAGTATGACAGAAATGAATTCAGGAAAGCTGATTGGTATATAAAGCTAAATATCAAAAGTTAGATGAATGTTTGTTGACAACTCTTTCCTGAAATAAGTAAACCGAAGCAATTTTGTAATAGTTTTAATAATGAACGCCACCCGGGAACTCAGTGTTCTCTACTAATATATTTATTATCTTATTTATGAAGGATCCGCTCACAGGCCAGCTGGTTCCCTCAATGGTACCCAACAAACTTGTGCTTGAGCACCTTGCCGATGCAACATGCGGGCCGGACAGGTTCGTTACACACTAGCGCCATCTTGTGCCAAGTTCTTCACGCCACACAAGAATAGCAGCGGCTATCAAATTTGATTAACATCTAGCGTGTTTCAGATCTATGAATGAAGTTGTAGACATGATACAAAGTGATGTTTGATAAGGGTAGATAGTTTGTTGATATTAGAAGGATACCTGAAGTCCTCCATGACCAAAAGTTTTAGTAGCTGAACTAACAGGTAAGAAACTTTCTGACGCATGGTTTGATGGTTCGTGTGTAGGTACATTTAGAAGCATGCTAATGTGAATATGTAGCTAACAATATTCTAAAATATGGTATTGTTGTGAATATATAGCTGGCAATATTCTAACGTACAGTATTGCTATGAATACGTAGCTGGAAGTATTCTAAAGTATAGTATTGTGGTTAGTGCGTAGGTATTTTAATGAGTACAATAGAGCAACTGTTAATTAGGGCTGAACTATTTACAGATGAAAAAATAGGTAGGGGTAAAGAAAACCATGTAAAAATAGCTCACATAATCTACTTAGGTATCTATGGGTAACGATGAAGAGTACGACATAGAAGTTAGTATACTAGTATGTTTCCATGGCTACTAGCGTTACATATGACAAAACTGCTGGTATAACTTATACCACTATATTTGTGTGTTTATCCATGTGTGCAATGTTGTGGATTACTAAGTACAGACTACTATGGTACTGTATCTGTGACTATCAGTTCTACTTGTCTTATGGTAAAATTGTTTATCTTAGATACTGTAATATGTATATGTATTTGTCCATGTGTGTGCGACGTTATGGATTACTAAATAAGGCTAATATGACATGACAGCGTATCCAGGACTATCAATAATATTTTTTGATAGGACAATTTGTGTAAATTAGATAGTATAATATATGTATATATGTGTATGCCTATGGGTAACGCTGTAGAATACTACATATGCAGGGGTGTAGTGCTGCTGGAGCGCTGCTCTGACACTTGAAATTGGAGCTGAAACCAGTCATTTCAAAAACTAAAAATGTGTATATAAAAATAAGATACTCAGTTTACAACCGAAATTAAATGTATTTCATATACAAATCCTCAAATTGTCAGAGAACATTCTAATTGTTTGTGATTCTCCACTGACAGAGCTTTCTCATGCTGTCTGGCACACCTTTTCACTCTCCCTCAGGAGCTGGCGTCAGGCACCAGATGATCTCTTCGGTTCAGTATCAAAAGCAAGAGCGTCACGTAGTTATTACGACACACGAATATGATATTAAAATAATTAACAAAATCTATGTTGATAGCAAAATCAGAGCCATAACAATATTTGCAGACTATTGTTCCTAAAACTAAAGCTGAAGGAGACTAAAAGTTTTGTATATATGGTGCCTAGCTATTGTTGTCTTCTCCTCCTTACTGCTTATTTTAACAGAAGCTGATTTGTTTGCTTTTTCTGAGTAATATTTGCGTATTCAATTTATTACTAATGTAAGTAATCTCAAATAATCACTACTACTTATATTTGCTTTAGAATATGAGTGTGAAATTTTTACCCTAATGGTGACATCACGCGTCTGACAAAATTTGGCAGGGCCCCAGTACTGAAATATATACATAAATTAGTATCTTTAGTTATCAGTACTAACTAAAACTAATTGAAATGATAAACGCGTTCACTTCTGTAAGGCAGTTTTTACACTGTTTATACAGAACATAATATATAAGTACAATCATCACAGACTGCTTGACATAACATTGTCAAACTAGATGATGTGTGTGTAAAAAGTAGTTACTTAGCACTTCGTAGTCAGGATAGATTGAGACAAAATTTCTGCAAATCGGCCTGGCATGGGCAGGTGGTTAGGGCGCTCGATTCACAATCTGAAGGTCGCGGGTTCGAATCCCCGTCCCACCAAACATGCTCGCCCTTTCAGCCGTGGTAGCGTTATAACGTGACGGTCAATTCCACTATTCGTTGGTAAAAGAGTAGCCCAAGAGTTGGCGGTGGGTGGTGATGACTAGCCGCCTTCCCTCTAGTCTTACACTACTAAATTAAGGATGGCTAGCACAGATAGCCCTCGTGTAGCTTTGCACGAAATTCAAAACAAACAAAGAAACAAGCCTGCACATCTTGTGTTCTACGTCTTATCAAAATTTACACGATAGGAGAAACACTTCTAATGTTAAGACGTGGTTTCAAAGTAAAGGAATAAATCTATGTGATGAAAGTTAGTGAACAATTATAAAATACTGCAACAGACGGGATGTAAAGTATCCCCTTTTTTATGGTGAATAAATTTATTATTATATGTCTGGAAATAAACTTCAAAACAATTAATTTGTATAGGTTGGTATGAAAAGGATTTTAAGGATTGATAATATTTTAAGCTAATGTCATAAACACAGTTTAGAGTGCTGTATTAATAAAGAAATGCTTATTATAATTGACAGATAATCAGATAGATTCGTAATTCCATCAATCTGAACTGGTGGATAAATAATCTAAAATTCAGTCAGACACAAACTAACTCTAACTAACGTGCGAATCGTGCTATGGTTGATGTTCCATCAGTGCAGCTGTAGTAGACTATATAGTAGTAGACTGCAGTAAACTATATAGTAGTAGACTGTAGTAAACTCTAGTAGACTATATAGTAGTAGACAGTAGTAGGCTGTAGTAGACTATATAGTAGTAGACTGTAGTAAACTGTAGTAGACTATATAGTAGTAGGCTGTAGTAGACTATATAGTAGTGGACTATATGGTAGTAGACTGTAGTAGACTATATAGTAGTAGGCTGTAGTAGACTATATAGTAGTAGACTATATGGTAGTAGACTATATAGTAGTAGGCTGTAGTAGACTATATGGTAGTAGACTGTAGTAGACTATATAGTAGTAGACTATATGGTAGTAGACTATATAGTAGTAGGCTGTAGTAGACTATATGGTAGTAGACTGTAGTAGACTATATAGTAGTAGGCTGTAGTAGACTGTAGTAGGCTGTAGTAAACTGTAGTAGACTATATGGTAGTAGACTGTAGTAGACTATATGGTAGTAGACTGTACTAAACTATATAGTAGTAGACTGTAGTAGACTATATAATAGTAGACTATATGGTAGTAGACTATAGTAGACTGTATAGTGCGACACTAGAACAGTTGAAAAAATTATCAGAAAGAGAAGTTCGATTTTGCACGATCTTTTTTTTTTTCACTTGCCAAATCAAATGCTGTAATTACAAAATGTATTTTGTTTTCAAAGATAATAATGTAAATTATCTTTACACTGGATAAACAGATTTCTTGTATCCAACAGTATGCAGTATAGGCTTTGAGTAAACTTTGAATAGAAAGTTTATTTTATAACATCGTATGTAAAGTTAATACTAAACTACGTTATGTAACTCAGTTATAATTTCATTATTTCTTGCTTCGAGGCTTATCCAGTACGAAAAACTTGAATGCTAGTTTCCGAAAGACTAATACTATGACGAACTCTAACCCTTCGTACTGTGTCACATTATAATTTTTCCAGACACTACTCTGAAGTCTACTTGATTATTTTTATCTGTGTCGTGCGTGAGCACAATCAAGTTTATAACTAAAGTTACTGACACTGTGACATCGGACATGAAACCGACGGATGGTGCAGGCCTAAATCCCAGTACACTCTGTCAAATCTTAGCTTACTTGAACAAAATTGGAAAAAGAAAGATATACGTTTTGAACAGCTGGTTACACTTGACACAAACTTAATCTAATACTAGCAGTTTTATTGTGATACAGAGTCTAACCACCTGGGGGAAAATCCGCCCTCTGCTGGCAGCACGGAATGTTCTACATGGAGGATCTTCACCATAAATCCCCTGTGGATTACGTGCGAGTATTTTCTTACTGTTACTGACATATCAGTACTAACACATGTAATTCAGTCACCCTGTGTTGCCTTTGTGGAGTCACAATTCGCTTTTTCTGTCCTTCGACGCTTCTCATCGAACGCTATAACATGTTTTATTTTTGCAAACATTAAGGTCACTCCGACTTTATCTGTTTTATAATTCCAAGCATGATACAGACGAACACAACATACTGTCTTTCTACATCTGTCTTCTTTAGGTCAAAGCTATTTTTATTTGAAAAATTAGTACATACGTCACAGCAAGCGATGCTGATTTTTGTTAAGTCACTCGTGTTCCATTCTTCATCGACTCGAGATTATTACTGGATCGTGGAACAGTTTCAACTGCTTAGCTATTTCTAGATTACAATACATTCAAAAAGATAAATAATAATCATCATATAAATACATGTCGAATCCCTTTTCCTAACCGTACTTGTTACTGTTATTATACTTACCTCGCTAACAGTGTAATATTTACTTTTCGTCAACCTTATGTTAACTATCAATATAAATTATTTTGCAGTTTAAAAACACATGTATTTAGTATAAATACAATAAATAAAATTAAAAATTAATAAAATTCTAGATTATGAGATTTCAATCAACGATATATTTTTTCTAGTATTTAACTTTGACTTTAGCCTTTCCTTTACATTCATGAAGATTTGGTGAGATAGGTTTTCAAGAAGGTCAAGTTTAAGGGTTGAGTCTAAAACACATGTGTTCATGTGATAATAAGTGATTTCATATTTTAAACTTGGTGGGGAT